GTGACCCTATTTACTGAGAAATGGTATCGCCATCAATTCAGAAGCATTAAGGCCAGGCTGTCTAGGATGAAACTCTGGGATATCCCAGCAATGTGACCTTCAGACAAGTTTATTTTTCTGTACCTTGTTTCCTCATCTATAAAAACAGAGACACAAAAGAGAGTTGTTGAGTAAATTAAATGTTTTAATGTATGGAATTGATTAGAATGTAGTGGGGCTTGTAGCGGTCACTTTTAAGTCAAAGCCAGACACAGCTCCCATGCTGCTGGCAGTTCATCACCTTGCTGTATCTTCCCCATGTAGCATTTATATTTCCTTATGAGTGAGTCTTTAACATATACAAAAATGACAGCTTGCTTCATACCTCAGAGCATTTTGCTTTTTCTTGTCTAGTATTCATTGTAGAAAATAGGCTCCTTTTTATTTAGTATTTACTACTCGGTTACTGTAGACTAGGTACTTTCCACAAATCTCTAACTTTTTGTCAACAATTACATTTGGTATTTCTGCACCCAGTTTCAAACACAGCCTATAAAAGTTAGGTTACAAGATGAGGATACAAGCCTATTGGCATGCAGGATTCTTAATTAGATTACAGAAGCTCACTCTGTATCTTGAAAAGATTTAAATAAGTAAAATAATTACTGTACCAATCATCCTCTTCCTATGTCTTCATCCTTCTTAATAACATCTCTCTCTGGTTCCCTTCCTTCTCCTAGACCTCTTCTAGAGGAAGATACACAAATCAACACTTCTAATTTCTTTATTCTTATTCAGTTGCCTTATTATTTTCTTTTGTGTGTTTCTTTTCTAGAGACAATAGGTACAGTGTGAGGAATCTGAATGTTGGAATCAGGCCTGAATACAGATTGTGCTCTGTCACTTACTCATGTGTGCTCTACTGCGTTAAGAAATCCCTCATATCTGCAAGGAGTAGAAGTATCACCACCTCAAAAGGTGGCTCTGAGGATTTAATGAGAGATTGGGGTGTTAAGGCAAGCACACCCACCAGCTCTGTGACACTTCCGCTTCCATTAGTAGCTGGGAGGACAGGACATCGGGTGCCCTGTTGGGGCAGCCACTTCATCTCACAGGCTCTGGGCCGTGTCTACTGAGCATCTGACAGAAGCTAATTTTCCTTCCCCTGCTTCCTTAGGAGAACGCATCCCAGGGGGTGACTCTGAGTGCTGAATGAGAAAGGGATTTTTACTCCCATTTTTGAAATGAGGAGGGCTGTGGGTATGGCTCACGGGCAGAGCATGTGCCTAGCACTAGCTAAGATCCTATCACGAGCATCATGAAAAATAAAAAATGAAATGAGAAAACCAGAGTCCACAGAGGTACGTAAAGAGAATTTTGAGAAGTTGTCCTTGGGAAATACATCCGTAGGCGTGACAGTGTACTTGTATAAAAGCTTTCGGGGAAGGATTGGAATTCTGTTTCTCCTTTAGTTCTTTCAGTTCAGTCATTATCCTTTCAAGGCTGTCATGTAAAGGTGAGAGGCCTTCTACAGGGCCTGCCTCATTATCTCTTCAGCAGGTGGAGCCACCTGCACCCTTTCAGAGTGGTGCCAGTCGTTCCATTTGGAAGGCAGTGGAAACAGAGGAGCTCCCATGCTTCATTGGATGGACCCCTCTGGGGTTGGGCCTTCCCTACCTATCAAACTTTAAAACAACTCACCTTCAATAAAGATGGAGAGAAAGCCCTATTCTGGGTGGCAGAATGATGAAGAGCCTTAGTTTAAGACAGAACTGAGTTCAAATTCCACCCTTCTTTTCCCACTTACTCCCTGTGTAATCTTGGTTGAGTCACTGAACATCTTTAAACTGGGCATTTCTATAACCACTGGAACATTGATGGTGATTGTGAAGGGGATCGCACTTGTAAAGAACTTCACAGCTTCCGGCTCAGAGTGGCTGCTGAGCAAGGCATTGTATGCACATGGGCCACGTGTTCCCCAGAGTGAGGAGATGTCATATTTAGTAGTTAGGGGAATTCAAACTACACAAAAAGTGAAACGGAAGACACATTGTTGAGGTGGCCACCAAACAGTTGCGCGCACTTACAACATACAATCATCTCTGCATAGTGATAACGAAGGGTTTTCTGCCTGTTTCTTTCCCTTTTTGTTTCGATGTAATAGTGTCCTAATCTTTAACAATGTGAGAGATTTGGAGAAGACACATAATGTCTACTTCTGTTTGCCATTACATCTTAATCAGAAAAGAAATCCTTCTGCAGGTGTCCTGGCTTGATTGTGTCCCTCATTTGCATAAAAATGACCGTTCCTCTTCCCTCTTTCCCCCCAACGAGGAGGACAGTGATGATCTCAAGTGCCAGCTGCAGTTCGTCAAAGAAGAAGCCGCTCTGATGAGGAAGAAGATGGCCAAGATTGACAAAGAAAAGGACAGGTTCGAGCACGAGCTCCAGAAGTACCGCTCCTTCTATGGGGACCTGGACAGCCCCCTGCCCAAAGGAGAAGCGGGGGGCCCTCCCAGCACCAGGGAGGCCGAGCTCAAGCTGCGGCTGCGGCTGGTGGAGGAGGAAGCCAACATCCTGGGCCGGAAGATCGTGGAGCTGGAGGTGGAGAACCGAGGGCTGAAGGCCGAGCTGGAGGACCTGCGGGGGGACGACTTCCACAACGGCTCCGCCAACCCCCTGATGCGCGAGCAGAGCGAGTCGCTGTCCGAGCTGCGGCAGCACCTGCAGCTGGTGGAGGACGAGACGGAGCTGCTGCGCAGGAACGTGGCCGACCTGGAGGAGCAGAACAAGCGCGTCACGGCCGAGCTCAACAAGTACAAGTACAAGTCCTCGGCGGGCGCGGGCCACGACGGCAGCGCGCGGCACCACGACAGCGCCAAGAGCGAGGCGCTGCAGGAGGAGCTGAAGGCGGCGCGCCTGCAGGTCAACGAGCTGAGCGGCAAGGTCATGCAGCTGCAGTACGAGAACCGCGTGCTCATGTCCAACATGCAGCGCTACGACCTGGCCTCGCACCTGGGCATCCGCGGCAGCCCGCGCGACAGCGACGCCGAGAGCGACGCGGGCAAGAAGGAGAGCGACGACGACTCGCGGCCGCCGCACCGCAAGCGCGAGGGCCCCATCGGCGGCGAGAGCGAGCCCGAGGAGGCGCGGCACGCGCGCTGCCTGACGCCCACGCGCGGCCTGCACCCCGCGCCCGCGCCCTGGCCGCGGGGCCTGTGCGAGCGGCAGCACCTGAAGGACATCCGCTCCGAGGCCGAGCGCCTGGGCAAGACCATCGACAGGCTCATCGCCGACACCAGCACCATCATCACCGAGGCGCGCATCTACGTGGCCAACGGGGACCTGTTCGGGCTTCTGGACGAGGACGACGACGACGGCAGCCGCATCCGCGAGCACGAGCTGCTCCACCGCATCAACGCGCAGATGAAGGCCTTCCGCAAGGAGCTGCAGGCCTTCATCGACCGCCTGGAGGTGCCCAAGGCCGGCGACGCCCGCGACGCCGAGGAGCCCATATCCGTGAGTCAGGTACAGCTCTGCCTGCCGCGCCTTGCCGTGCCTGGCCAGGCTGCAGCCTCCGACCGACCGGGTCGGCCCTTCACCCGCCACCGCCCCGGGCGGGCCCAGGTCGGGGCCCCACCGGCCTCCCGCGGGTCCCTCGCGCCCTCTGCAGGCCGGAGGGGCCCGTGACCCAGTCCCCAGCACCATCCCCCACCTTTGGAAGGGGCGATGTAACGTCAGCACCCTCGATTTTCCTGTGCAGAGGAGTGGATTTTAGTTAACGTTTTTAGAAGGTCAATGTTTTTCAGTATTTATGTTATTCAGGAACTGATCTCACTGCAAGAAAGTCCTGAATAGGAATCTTGACTTGCAAGCCTCAAACCAACATTTGAAGATTCCTACTCAGAATGTTGCTTTGAGGCTTCTGAGTCATTCAGTTTAAGATTTACAAAAATAATTACTAAACGATCAACGTTGCTGATCAGTGTAGAAATCAGTGGTAAAGAGGATCTTGTACCTAGAGCCTCAGCAAACGCGCAGTGGACGTCCCTCCCCCCTTACCATGAGCCAAAATTGCCCAGCGTTATTTCTAGAGACTGTTACCTCAGTCACTTTTAGAGTGAAGAACTCAGGGCTGGTGAAGGACTCTTCTGAGGTAGCTTTCAGGCAACACTAATCCAGGGAAGTGGAAATAACGATTCTGTAACAGGGAAAACCAGTATTTTTCCTCCACCCTGATTTGTAGAGGCACCGGATGAATGGGACTGAGCTGCTCTGTCCAGGTAGGGTGGCCACTGAAAGATGAGTGCGCTTTGTCAGAGTGAACCGCGTAGAACACACTTTGTGAGACAAGGCGGGTAGTGCCTTCCCTCTGGCTACCCTGGGGTCCTGTATCCATTGGAGAACCCATGGAAGTACAGCAGCACGCATGGCTTCTAGGTCACGCCAGACACTGACTTTGAAAGCCAGCTTATGCGGAAAAGCATGACATCCATTCATTGCCTGTCCCTCACAGCTAGCAAAATCGCAGCTCTGTGCTTATTTATCTTGCACGTTGCTATGCTTTGCTGTGATGTTTTATACTGAAACTTGTTGTGAAATGTTAAAATTTTACTTTTTCCTATTTATTATATCAAATATTTAGTTTTTCCTTTTCTTGTTCCATATTTTTTAATACTATGAGCATGTGGTTTTTCATTTATATTCTCGGGGGAAAATCAAAATCAGAGTGAGAGAAAGCACCGTGGATAAATAATAACTTCAGGTTTGGTAAAAGATAGGTGTAAGGGAGGATTCTTTATCTTGAGTGAATATTTAGATTAGTTGATTTAGATGTAAGTTTTAAAAAATTATTAATTAATTCTTTTTGTCTTTGCATTTACCTTCCCAGATGTTCCAGCCTATCATTTTACTTATTCTCATTCTTGTATTATTTTCATCACTTTCCTACACAACAATATTTAAACTTGTCTTCCTTTTTACACTGTTTTTTGTACTGTAAGTCTTTCATCATTTACCATTCATTGTAGTATTTTCAGTTTGTTTATTTTGTTCACCCTTCAAGACAAGAAGTAAAAGAAGTATAATTTCTGTAGTAACCAATGCTGTAAAAACACTGAAGACTGCATCTTTCTGTAAAAAGACAAAACTCATCTTACCACTACCAAATTCAGTAAGAAGCCCAAGCACGAAAATATTTCAGGTAAGAGAATATATACATTTTTTAATAAATCAGTTTTTACCTCTTTCTTTTACAACTTGATTTGTATTCTTCTTCATAAATAATTAAACTGGCAGATTGGCTGTAAAATGGATTTAATTTTAGTAATTAACTATCATGGTTGGTCAAAGCCAGGCACCTATAAATCGCTCACCCTTCCAACAATCACATAGATTCATTAAACACCTTGCCTTTATAAATCTCGGTATGGATTTTTGTAAAACACCTTCGCAGTAAATGGTGTAGATTTATAAAGTACATTGCTAATGCATCGAACAACAAGATAGTTTTGACAACCAAGAACTGTAAAAAATATGGGGAATAAATGAAACGTGGCCTTCGTGGAAACTAAGTAATGTGTTTGAAGGCTGATGTGGCTGTCTGCAGCGATGTGTTTGAAAGCATGGGCACAGATAGGCCTTAACCCATTGAGAGAGGAGTTGCCCCCATCCTGTTGTTTGACCAGCTTCCCACAGAGCCAGGTATTTCTGCGTTTGCTTGTCTCACGTGGAGCCTTCCAGTGTGAATAAGGCTCAGTGCCTGCAGTCCCACTCTCTAGAGCAGATTCCCACCTAGAACTGCCTTCCAAGCAAGAAACACAGCAGCGATATGCTACGGGAAGTATTTCAAGTGGGGAGAAATGACATTCTCTAAAATTTCATTCAGTTGGAACCCAAGGTCAGAAGCATAGTTCCAGAGGGCGTCCGTCCTCTCTAGACAAACACCTGGGCCACGAGCACTCCTTTCTCCACGTGCCCAGAACAGTCTGGACGGACTCCACGTGCCCAGCGACCCTCTTCTGTCCATCCTGTTGGTAGCTGACCCAGGGGAACCCTGGAGTGCATGGCTGCCCTGGCTGGAGTTCTGACCTCACGTAACCCCGAAGGCTGGCTGGCAAACGCGAGAGCCTGGATGAAGTGAAGTGTCTCGGTCTCCGCAGCGACAATAATTTGAGGAAAGGCTTTGCTCTGTGACAAAACTGGGGACTTAGTCACGGCCCTTTGGATCCCAGGAATTTAACTTGCAAAGGGCTACAATTTGTCTAGAGCCTCAACCTCCTACAGATCCATTTTACTATGAGTATTACTGGTAGTCTTTTGTAAATCCATAGTAGTCAAAATGCTCAATTTTAAATAATTGCTTGTATTCTTCCCAGCCTATGTCTGGGGTCAGAGAATTTTTTGCTTTTTTGTTTGGTTTGGTTTTTTGGTTTCTGTTGTTGTTTTTTATTTGGTTTCTTTTGGGTTTTGTGGAAGCAGGAATAAAGACCTGGATGGAGAAGTAGTTAGTGAGCAGTTGGAATCCGTCAATAAATACTTTTGGCTTTTCGTGCTGGGGAGTCAAGGGACTTGAATTTAGATAAAACTTCATGACAGAAAGAAGAGATAGTAAATCCTACGTTTGATCAATTATTATTACAGAGGTTTCTACATTTTTGACAAGTGCATCTTAAAGATGGTAACCACCTTAAGAACCAAAATCCATTAGGTACTTCTTCAGGCCACCATCCCAGAGAATCTGCAACAAATATTTGGGGGCTAAAATGTATCCAAAATGCCTGTGATATTTGGAAGTAGATGCCCTTAGCCAAGCAGTGCTCATGTACAGAGCACCTGGAAATGTTTGGAAAGATTGTAGCTCCTCACAGTGGCAAGGCCTTTGGCACTTGGGAGGAAGGAGTCAGGACTGCAGCTTCCTGCATTTCCACATCACAGAGAGCTCCATTTTTGGACAGGATGTCCTCGTACACTTCTGAAGCACCATTCGTGTTCACTACTGTGCGTGACTTTAAAACACTGACTGAGATTTTAGGTTTCTCTGTCATGCAAATAACTAAGAACTAAATATCTAGTAGTTTTCAACCTTACCTGCACATCACAGTTCCTAGGGTGTTTTTAGGGTTAGAGCCTTACTCCATGCAAGGTAGAATTGAATGGATGATGAATTTAGGCATTTGCATTTTTGAAAGCTTCACAGAATCACTCCTTTAGATATCTGTGTTTCCCAAAATGTACATACATATTCTGTATAGGCCTAACAAAGGTTACAGTAGACTGTGTGATGCTAGGATATAGAGTTATCAGACGTCTGGGTTTGAGTGAAACTGAAAGGCTGGAAGCTCAGTGGGTGTCTGAACCCCCAGTGAAGCATCCCACACAGTGCTTATACAGTCTTCACCAGGAGATCCCAAATGCAAAGCAGTTTTCTTTCCACATTTGTAGGGTTAGAAAATGATCCTTTTGTTAATATAGGTTTTCAAAATCAGAGGAAACAAATAGGAATAATGTGTACCCAAAAGGGCATCCAAGATGAATCGAATGTAGGGTTGTGTACACTCAGAGATACAAGCACATGTGCCCCAGATTTATGGCCTCATGGGCACCTCAGGACCATCTAATCCCTGGGTGTTATTAGAAGACACCATGAGTACATACAGGGGTGGTGTAAATACCTCAAGGATAACTTGTTACCTGAATAAGGAAGAGAGGAGTCTAGCATAAGCAAACACCAGCCCCATCTTTATACCTCTTCCTAGCAACTGTCGTCCTGGCAACAAGAGTACTGTATTTACCTATGAACCCCTCAACCACTGGTGCTGTGGAGGAGTTTCATGAGCATCCTGAACCCAGTGCAGCCCTCCATATAGGGGTCCCCCACAAGACTGGGGAGGAGAAAGTAGCCTAGAATATGACTGGCTTACCTGCTACTCACAGACTCTGGGGAGTTGGGATCCCTCTGACAGCTCTTCTGAGTTTAAGGAGGCAAATCGACAGTGCCATTGAATTCTGGGAAGCCCTACTTCCTAGCAGGCTTTCCAGCTGCTCCTGAGCATGCACACACCGCACGCCTCCATCCTGCTGCACTCAGGGTCAGGCACAGCCTGCCCACAGGCATAAAGAAGCTTTTCTCTGGCTGCCTTCTCCCTGTGGTCCCAGGCTGTTCTGTGAGTACCCAGCATCCAGCTTGCATCTCTCTCTCACCACAGGACCTAGACTTGAGAGGTTAGCAAAGATGGTACCTAAGACCTCTGAAGGAGAAGCCCCAGCATCTCCTCCTCCCCTTTGATCCTGTTGCTTGCATTATTTTTGTTGTATTAAGCTAGTTCTGAAGGAAGACCACCCAGATTCCTTTGTTCATCCAAATAACAAAGTCCCCCTCAGGGGGCATAAAGACAAAGGCCTTTCTGTTTGTCCCCTTGATGTGCTATTTAAACATCACACTGAAAATAAACTCAACAAAGCAAAACTTATTGCAGAAAATTCCCTTATATGGCATGTTCTTGGGCATAGGAAGAAGTATCTTTGTTAATTTGGCCTAGATTTAGGAAAGAAGGAATTCAGTTGGCATTTTTTAAGCATAAATGACTCAAACACATAAAACAAAGGAAAATTCAATACTGAGCCTGGGTTGTGTGCTGGCCTGCCTTTCCCAAGCTTCATGTTAATTTGTATGGCGAGTGGGATATGGTTAATCAGCTGCCAGCAGTTTGAAATGTCAGCTTTGCAGCTTAGCCTTAACTCCAAATACTCATGCAGGGTTTGTAACTACGTTCTCATAAAACTAGGCTCAGTCTCATGGGGTAAAGTCATACTGTGGGTCAGATGCCCTAGTTGAATGTGGAGGTTGAACAGAAAGTGGTGATAGTATTGCAACAGCATTAGAATGTGAGAAAAATGGTTAAAACTAGAAACTGCACTATGCAGGAAGACAGCTGCTTAAACCTAGTTATGATCCGCCAGTTGGGCCTAATGAAAAATAGCTTTGATTCTGTTTGTAATTTTTCTCTGCTTTCTGATAGAGGAAATGATTTCAGATACTTTTTGTATCTGAAAATAAAATAGCATTTCAGGAACAGTTCTCATATTCTCAGCAGCCTAGCTGTGCAGTTTCAAAGGGAAACCCCTGCAAAGTAAAAAGGCTTTATTGCCTGGACATGGCAGGAAAACCTCTGTAGTTACAGAGGTAAGTGTGATAACATCCCGAATCCTTCTGTACCACGTAGTGTTACCCAGGTGGGAGAGAGGTAAGTCATGGCGCCTGTTCATGTTGGCTACTCTGAAAGTGAGCAGAATGATAGGATCCCTAATGGTTCTTCCCGCATAACTAACCAGTATGTCTTCGCCCATCCCTTCTCTCCTGGAAAGTGTGCTTTCTCTATTCTCCCGCAGTTCTGCACTGCGGTCGACCGGGGAAAGATGTGGATAATTTTTAGGCACTTCCAGGAATTCCTTGTGAGTACAGTATGGTTATAGCACACTTGGACAAAGAATGTAGCAGTGAATGTAACACTTTCTTCTTCAGAAAGAAGGAAATCTAATTTCCAAGAGCCCCACCTTGCCTCATTTCTCAGGTGTTTATGTTTAGTAAACTTTATTTACTGGTATATCCTGGTTCAACGATTTCTTTGTTAAAAAATAATTTTAAAGCTTGTTGGTTCATAGTTGTGTGTGTTTTTCTGTAGTTATTGTTTGAGTACCACCCAAACCCAGCATCTGAAAATAAAATCATAAGCAATTTTAGTGAATTATCTACATCTTGGCTAAAATGTACTATGATATAAGAATATACAGCCAGTTAATTTTGGCAGTTACTCAGACTTTTAAAAAATAGTCATGGAATTTTGTTTACTTATATTAGAATTTTTAAGTAGTGTTGTATTACCCAAATTTTTGTATAAGGGCATTTCAAACTCAGATCATAAATTTTACTTTTGTTTTAATTTTCTCTCAAACGATTAGCACATTTTAAAGCATATTAAATAATTTTAAATGGTTCTTACTCTTTGACCAAAGATAAGTATGTAATAAATTAATATAATAACTTAAAAACTAGAAGCTTTCAGGAAAATTTGGAACACTTATTTAACAAAGTAGTAAAGCACCCTAATTATCCAGGATTGCTGCAATTTCTTGACTATTTCAAGAGCTTTAATATCCTACATTCTCTAGAGAGGGTGTCTGAAAATTGTTAATTCCAAAAAA